GGTGAAGTGACAAGATCAGATCTGACAATGAGATGTTTCTCGTGATGTGTACTGATAACAGAAGGAAGCTGCCTCCTTTCTCTTTAGAGGTACACAGCTCTTCCTTGTCCCAGCTGGCCCCATGGCATCTTTTGGTTAGAAGTAATTTTTCATGGCACAGATGTGTTCACCATCTCTTCATTGTTCTGGCCTAGGATAGGAATCCAGGCACTAACAGCCTGTTTCTTCCCTCTGTGAGTGTCAGGTCTCTTTCTCCTTGCTCCCCTGTGCTATTCCACAGTCACAACAAACGCCAAAGGTTTGCTTGTATAATGCAGACAGGACTGGGAGCTCCTTAAGCGCATTCAACCTCCCACAATAGGACTTAATAAACCTGATCTGAATGAAATGATTAATTCCTAAATAACTCTCGTCTACCCAGCAGCCTTCCTCCTCCTTACCAGAAGAACCCTTGCCTTCTCGGACGCCAAGACGCCTGGCTCTGGAGTCCAGGTCTGCAGTTTGTCTCAGGGTGGGGCTTGGACTCTTTCCTTGCCACTGATACACAAGGGAGGCTTCCTGGAGCAGGGCCTCTGGGAGAGAGAAGGCAGAGACGCAGAGAAATAAGGGAGGCATCTTTGCTTCCGGAGAGACGGCTGTGCAAGCAGGTGATTCTTAGAACAGGCAGTGTCCATCTTGTCAGGAGGGAAGGAGCCGCTGACATATGGCGATGGGCCACGTTCGGTCCTTCATCTCACTGCGCAAACAGATAAAAACTGGAACTGCCTGAGTGGCCAGTTAATCAGGAACACTTCTTGGTTGAAGCTGCTCTTACTCTGTTAGGGGCCTCAGAATGACCTCTGTCTGAAAATGAGTGATCAAATCCCGGATATGAAGATCTGGCATGTATCTACACCAGCATGGCGGACTTGTTCCTTGGAGACCCTTTCCGCACAGTGCCCACCCTTCCCACACAAGCCTTCCTTTCCTACGCTATTGTAGTCCATTCTCTACTGGACCCATTGTGCAAGGAAACTGGGTATAATCACGGAGCCTATCCCGTCAGTAATCCTCATGAAGTTCTGAGTGTGTCACGTCTTGAACTCCTACAGAACGTGATTCCTGTTCCCCAAACCAACTGCCACTATCGTGGTTTAGATGATCATAATTGTTTCTGTTTCCTCTGCAAATCATATCTCTCTCCGAACCTTTCCTGATCAGTGTAGGCATTTTTTTCTGGCACCTGAAATTTACAGTCATCTTTTGAAAGAATTAACCAGTGAAACCATTAGATTTTCTTCGTGGGAGTATTTTTAAATTGGTTTATTTTATTGTTTTTTTTTTTTTTATCTATTTGGATTTTCTTATTGCTTCCTTGCATCATTGGTAAATTACAAAAATTATATTTATGGGGTGCAGTGTGATATTTTGATACGTGTATACATTGTATAATTTCAAACCAGGCCAAGCAGTATCTCCATCCTCAAATATTCATCATTTGTTGGTGGTAAAAATGCCCAATCCTCTTTTTAGAAATACACAGTACATTATCTTTACCAGTATGTACTCTTCTATGCAACAGAACACCACAACTAATTTCTTCTATCTCTCTTTAACGTAGTACACTGTTTCCAGCATTGCCCACCCACCCTGCCCCCTACACTCCCTCCCCTCTGCTAGCCACCGACAGGATGAAAGGAGAGAGCAGAAAAGAGGGCCTGTATGGGAGAGCTGGTCTTGTCCTGGCCTCGCAGGGATAAGTGGGAGCAGCGAATCCTGTTAGGGTGCGAGTGGAGCTGACATTTGTGGTTGAGCCATTTGGTTACCTGACTTCTAGAAAGCCAGGCTAGATTTGGGAGAGGCCGGAACTAACTGTACAAGGTGATGACTGGGCCAGAGCCTCAGATCGCGCCCAGAAGATGAAACTTCAGAGAAGATGGCACCAGTTGCACCAACAGGTTTTTATTTGGAATAACTTTGGCAATTCTTGGCTGCTTTGGGTTCCATGGGGATGTTAGGGTTGTTGTCCCTAGTCTTGTGAAGAGTGTCTGTGGTGTTTTGATAGGGATTGCACTTATCTTGAGATTGCTTTGTGTAGTGTGGACATTCTAACAACATTGAATCTAGCAGCCCATGCACATGCAGTGTTATCAAATGAATTAGTATATGTTTTGGAGTGGATATTTTGGACGTAGTTTGTATTTTGAATCAAGAATTTTTTAAATTCCCTCCTTGATTTCTTTCTTATTCCAGTGGTTGTTTAAGAGTAAGTTGTTCAACTGCCATGTATCTGTATAGTTTCCAAAGCCTTTCTTGTTCATTTCTTGCTAATAGTGGCCTGAAAAGATACTCAGCATGGTTTCAGTTTTTAAAACCTACGGAGACTTGTTCTGTGGTCTGGCATATGATCTTCCCAGAGAACATTTCCTGTGCAGTAGAGGAAAATGGGTACACTGTAGTACTGGGTGGAACGTTCTGCTGTGTCTGTTGGGTTTATTTGGACTAGTGATGTTTCTTGATTGACTGTCTAACTGAGCTACCCAATACTGAAAGTTGCATGTAAAAGGTCACTGTTACTGTGTTGCTGCTATCTCAAGTAGCCTGTCTTTAAGCGCATTGATTGTTTATTTTGTTGGATCTATTCAGCTGTTGATTCCTTTTATTACGTTTTCATTTTGTTGAATGAAAATAAATTCACGGATTGAAAAGTATACTAAAGTTTTTAAAGGAATTACTTTATAATCCAGTTTTATCAGAGAAAATTAAGATGTTTTTGAAGTTTAATTTCCTTAAAACAATTATTCTAAATTGTAAGTTCCTACATATCAATTACTTGTGGTACCTTATATTGTCCATTAAGTGAGGTCCTGGTTCCCTCAGAGTTCTTAAGAAAGTTCTTTTGACAAATGAGAACGACTAGACACTGAAGGGTTAGCATGTATTCCAGTCATCATAATCTAGCTTTGTTAGTGCCAATCCCGCGAGACATTCTACGCAGCTGCTTTTCTCTGAGCCGGTGGTTCTTGCACTATTTCAGCACTAGATGGTACCCAAGTCCAGGATGGCCGTGAGCCTGTGCCGGTGTACTGTTAGAGTCTCAGCACTACAGGGTGCTCCAGCCCCAGGTTTGCTACAAATCTACACTTGGTCTGTTGTCCCGGATAGATAGTAGGAGTGCCTAAAAAGGGCAGTTGGTCTATTCAAGCCTCTGCCTGGGGCCAAGGCAGGCCTGGGGACCTTGTCCAGAGTCACCAGCCTGTATTCAGTGATTGCAGGATTCTGTCTGGCCCTGGGCCTCACCATTTAGGGAGCAGGCCTAGAAACCTGAATTACCGACTTTCACCTGCTTCTGTCATCTTTCCCTCCCCACCCCGAGGCAAACAGTGACTCTTTCCTCGTTGTGATGCCCAGTAGTAGCAGAGGAATTGAGTGGGCAGTCATGTGGTCACCAGTGCTGCAAGGCTGGGTCATACTTGGGGCCAACACGCCACTATGACCCACACAGCATTAGGCGGGACAAGACCCGCAAGGTAACAGCTTGCTTATTACTGTAGTATTCTCAGTCTGTGAACCACAGTGTCCGGCTGGAGGTGATGCTGAATGGAGTATGAGGGTATTTAAAAAATGTTCATGCATGGCCATTTGCGGAATGAAACAGTGGCTGGGATTCTTTTTTTTCCTCTCTCTCTCCCTTAAAAATAAAAAATTTTTTTAAAGATTTATTTATTTGAAAGTCAGAGTTAGACATAAAGAGGAGAGGCAGAAAGAGGTCTCCCATCTGTTGGTTCCCTCCGCAATTGGCTGCAGTGGTTGGAGCTGCACCCATCCGAAGCCAGGAGCCAGGAGCTTCTTCTGGGTTTCCTCATGCAGGTGCAGGGGCTCAAGGACTGGAGCCATCTTCTTCTGCTTTCCCAGGCCATAGCAGAGAGCTGGATCGGAAGTGGAGCAGCCGGGTCTCGAACCAGTGCCCATATGGGATGCCAGCACTGCAGCCGGCGGCTTTCTGACTGCGCCGCAGCACTGGCCTTTCAAATAAATCTTAACAAAATGTTTATGGGTGGGGCCTGTGGCCTAGCAGGTTAAGCTGCCATCTGCAGCACCGGCATCCCATACGAGTGGCAATGCAAGTGCTGGCCGATCTACTTCCATCTTCGCTCCCTTGTAACACACCTGGGACAGCAGTGGAAGATGCCCAAGTCGTTAGGCCCCTGGATGCTTGTGAGAGACCTGGATGCAGCCCCTGGCTTCTGGCTTCAGTCTTCCATTGAAGCCATTTGGGGAGTGAACCAGCGGATGGAAGACATCACTCTCTGTGCCTCTGCCTTTCTTTCTCCATAATTCTACCTTCCAAATAAATAAATATTTAAACAGAAACGTTCATGGAAAATGTAAACTAAATGATAAATTTATTCTGGTGCTAAAATTTGAAACCTATGCATGGGTTTTCATAATAGGCATTTTCCATGAACTTTTGAAGACTCAACAGATCTGTGAGTACCACCGAGACCGTGGGTCTGCTCCTGCACTGGGGCAGGGCCCGTGGCTCTGACAGGGGGATAAGAGGCGTGGGATTCTTCCCAGTACTGAGTTCCACCGCAGTGGGCATGATAGTTGTTTATGAATCTAAGGTCTCCATTTGCATACCTCTCCTTCCTCCAAGCAGGAGCTTTCTCCGTGCTGTGTCGCTTGGAGCTTGGGGAAAGGCAAGGTAGGCAACGCTCTGCTTTCTGCCTCTCTTCAATACTTTTTCCCTTATTGTCGTACTATAAAGCAGTTACTGCGATCTCTCGCCTGGCTTTCTGAGCTCTTGCAATGATCGATTCTTCTGTAAATAACCATCCACGTTGATATTTGTAGGGAAAGATAATCAGCAGAGCATCTGACCTCACTGCCGCCTTGTTCCGCCTTCCTCTTCAGAGTCCGTTTGCTCCTTGAGTGTTTCTCAGAAGTTGTGTTTCACCTCACCGTGAAGCGTCACAGCAAGCCCATTGAGTTGCCACCCAGAGAAGCTCACCTGGGCCTTGGGGTTCCAGGTTTCTGACAAGGGCCAATCACATAGGCATGGACACCCTGTGTATCTGACCTTTGCAGTAGAATTTCTAGCCATGCCCAGACGCTATACTGCTACCGTGGTATTCACAGACCCAGCTGTGCAAAGACCATTCCTTCTCTTTCCAGAGAATTCCTTCAGATTTGCAGGATATGTCCTCACTCCTACCTTGGAGTTGGCTGATAAAGTTATCTACCATCACTGGGATCAGAGATGTTCATAACCCAAAGGTATTCCAAGGGTTTAGGGATTACCTCTTTGTAGTCAATTTGTTGTCAGTCTCCCCTTTGGAATATGTAGGTTTGAATGTCAAACTCATTGCATTATTTTTATTAACAAAAGCATATTAAAACCAGTGATATCTGTGGAAAACTTGAAGCCAATTTGTGGCACACCAATGCACATAAGCATGTCATTGAGAAACAATTCATTATGTTAGTATTTCTTCCTACCCTTCAATAATTTTAAGCTTTAAATTTCTTTCAAAAATCAAATTACCTAAACTCAACATTAAGATTTCATTATCTTCTGGTTTTAATTTTTAAATTCCTATAATTTCTTAGAAATTCACACTTTGGATTTTTACTGCTGTAAGTAATTGAGCAGTTTACCAGTACTTAGTAAATGATCTGTCTTTTCCTCTTTTCGCTAGTAAGTCAAATAAAATGTTATCATTTTTGTTGATGTTCTGTAGTCTTGCTACAGTGTAAGCATTTACTGTGTTTTTATATTTGTTGAAGTACAATGAGATTTCACAGTCTGAAGATGAGTGTAATTATCTGTTAGTATCTTTTAAAATACCATCTCTTGCCCATTTTCTCTATCTTGAGCCTTATTTTTTTTTCCAATTCTAAGTACTGTTTTCTTGAGGTTTGCCTTTTAAAAGATATAACTTAGATGTTATAAAGTCACCTATTTAAAGTGCACAGTTTTGTGGTTTCTAGATTATTCATAGACTAGGAAAAGCATCCCCACAAGCTACATCTCAAATAATTTGATTACCCAGAAGAAAATCCCATGTCTCTTAGCAGTAACAGCAATGTCTTCAAATTCCAACCTAAGGTTTGCTTTTAAATGATGATTTTTTGTACTCTCAAACTGATTTCAGGATGTTCTATTTGATTTTATCCTACCTGTACTTCATTGATCTTGCACAGGGAGATAGATTGAGGTTTTTCATCAAATTTGGTGATATTTGGGGGATGGATTTATTTATTTGAAAGCCAGAGTTGCAGAAAAAGAGGGAGAGACAGAGATCTTCCATCTTCTAGTTCACTCCCCAGATAGCCACAATGGGCCAGGCTGAAACCGTCAGCCAAGAACTTTGTCTTGGTCTCCTATGTGCATGTAGGGGCCCAAGGACTTAGGTCATCTTTCAGTGTTACCTGGGAGCAGGCTTGGAAGTTTGACAGCTGGGAGTTAAAACAGTGCCCATATGGGATGCCGGCATTGTAGGCAGCAACTTGACCCAATATGACACAATTCTGGCCCCATAATGTGGGGAGTTTTAAGCCTTTATCTCTTCAAACATTTTTTATGCTTCTTTGTCTCCTCATCACCCTGGAATTCTGTTTATATGTTTATTGCTATACTTAATGGTATCCCATCTTTACTCAATGATTCGTTTGCAGCTCAAATTTGTGTTTGATTGCTTTTACAATTTCCATCTCATTAACAATGCCTCATCAAGTAGAGAAGATCAATATAAAAACTGTCTGTAATTCTTTTTGCGTGGTTTCCTTTAGTTTTAAAGAAATATTTGTAAAACACATATGCATATAAATATCTCATTATTTTCTAGTGAAAATTATTTTTTGTGGCCCTGTACACCCTGGTTTCCGCAGCTGAGTTTATGTTGCATGCTGGTCAGTTGTTGATGTAGAGACTTGTGGAATGCTGTGACATGCATGTCCCCTGCACTCTGCAGTTTTTGAGGCCCCAGCCCAGATGTTGTCCTTTTCTCTGACCTGGCTATCTGGAGCTTGCCTTATAGTCAACACAAGTCACTGGTTGGCCAAAGGCTGTGTTGATGCCAGCTTAGCTGGTTAGAAGTTCATAATTTACTCTTGCATGGTTGCATGGCTTTCACATGACTGTTGCAGCACAGAGTTAACATTATTGATTTGCATTCTGCCAGGGAAGAGAAATCTGGATTTTCCCTCTCCAGTCATTCCTGAGAGAGCACAGTGTTGGACATACACAGATTTTTCTGGATAGTCAGGGGTGCATATTGTGGTGTTTTCCTCATTTGAAGTATGTGTGTGGGGGGAGAATGAACCAAGTCACATCCACTGGTTTATCCTGAAGGTCTCACAGGAGCCAGGCCTGGGTCAATCTGAAGCCCGTAACTAAGAATGCAACTGAGATCTCCCTAGATCTGGAACCAACACTGTTACCTCCCAAAGTCTGCATTGGTGGGAAGAGAGAAGAGCAGTGCCAGGAATTGGACCCAGGCACTCATTCCAAGCAGTATCTTAACAAATACACCAAGTGCCCACCTCATTTTATTTTGAAGCCTAGGTTCCTCGTCATTGTTCTGGGGTGGGGATGTTTACTCTCCACTCAGTGTTTGCCCGGAGATTGGGTTAGAGTACTCAGTCCCAGTGAGGCTTCCTTCCTGGCTCGCCAGGTTCACGCATTGCTTGGGGAGTGCTTCATGTCTCCCCGTGGTCCTGCTCTGATGACTCCTGTTGGCTCCTACCTTGAAGGCTGTCTGAGGAGGGTTCTTCTTGGCTCTTTCCACTTACGGTTCTCTGTTAAATCCCTGCTGCTCTGCCCTTTCACGTGCTGCTACTAGGATCGTGGAGCTGCCACTGCACCAGATCTAGGGGCAAAGACAAGAACGATACCAGAGCTCTCAGCGCTGGGGGTGATAGATCCTGCTTTCCTCAGCTTGCCCCTTTATGTTTGGAACATTTGTGCTGTAAATGAGCTGTCATGGAACTATCAAGATACCATTATCATTGGCCCATCCTACCCGGAAGAAATCTTCTATAAATAGAGGTCATTGTGGGGAGCAACTCGGACTGGACTGAGTTACTGGAATTAAGACTTATTCTATGCATCTGCTCTCCCACAATATGGCGCTGGGAGAGGAGAAAACAGCTTCTACGCAGCTGCCTCTTGCCAACTTGAGTGATGACCTCCAGGAGCTGATTCTGCTCCTGATTGGAGGAGAGCAGCGTACTCGGCGTGTGGGCAGCCGAGTTGGGATTGGCGGAGGAGGACTATAAAGGAGGAGAGAGACGGCATGCACCAGGAACATCTGAGGGAACACCTGTGCAGCCCCCGAGAGAGCCGGCTGGCGGTGTGCCGCTCCCCCGCGGAAGTGGGGAATGTGGCAGGGGGAACCGCCCTTCCACGGAGGTGGAAGGGTCGGTAGCCAACCCGGGAAGAACCAGCAAACCCGGGGAGGGCCGAGCAGACAAAAGAACAGCGCAGGGTCCTGTGTCGTTCCTCCACGAAGAGGGGGAGTGACATAATGGTGCCGTGACTCGGATATGAAGCCTAGGCAGGGTTTAGTGTCGTTCCTCCATGAAGAGGGGGAGCGACATAATGGTGCCGTGACTTGGATAGGAAGCTTAGGAGGGAAGAAACGGGAAGAAATGGGAAAATACCAGAGAGAGAGACTAGCAAACAGCCTAGGGAAAAGCCGGACGAGAAAGGTGCCAGAAGAAGCTATCGAAAGCCTAGGCATAGACTCGGATATGGACTGTGGGAAAGAAGTTAGGATTTAAAGTGAAAGCAAGAAGAAACTTAGACTCAGATGCGGACTGCAGCTTGAAAGTAAAAGTGAAACCTAGAAGGAACACCACGGACTGTGGGGAGAGGCCAGGAGAAATGAGAGGGGAATATTGTTGGAAGAAAACTTAGGGAAACATACCGGGTAGAGAAAAATGTTAGGGAGGATGAAGCCGCGAGTGCAGGCCGAGGCGGAGACGTAAGCCAGCTTGGAATTCAAGTCAGCCTGGGGAGCAAGAGGCGAAGATCTGGAACCAGAGGCAGAGACGTGGGCTGCCAGGTTGGAATTCGCCAGGTTAGTCCAGGGAACTTGGACTGAATGCCGGTGGTGGCGGAAACGTGAGCTGGGGCTGTGTGACTCGCGGAAGCCGCCATGTGCAGAGAGAGCACGGGGCGTGAATAGATAGGGAACGTGGGGCTGGCGCGAGGCCGTGGTGCTGATGTGAAGGGCGTGGAGACCGCGGAGTGCGCGAAGCCAAGCCGCGCAAAGCCGGGAAGCCAGCAGATGGGAGAAGCGCGGGCTGAAGCGGCTCAGAGCTGGGAAGCCGCCGAGAAGCAGCCTCGGGGCGGGCGCCGGGAAGCCGCAGGGATAAGAGAAACAGAAGTTTAGAAGTAAAATGAGAGAAATAGGAATGCTGGTAGATAGAAGTAAAATAGGAGAAATAGGAATGCCCGGAGATAGGGAAATAGAGAAAAATAAGGCCTCCCCACAACATGGCAATGAGAGAGCTTGGATTCGGTCTGCCTGATTAGGGAGGTAGTGAGCACCTGCAGGCGGCTAGCAGTTTATGCGCCGCAGGTCACCGAAGACAGGCACGAATTAACATCAATAAGTCTCCCGCAATACCGCAATGAGAAGGCTTGGATTCGGTCTGCCTGATTAGTAAGGCGGTAAGCACCAGCAGGCGGCTCGACCAGAGTATGAGCCGCAGGTCACCGAAGACAGGCACGTTATCAACACCAATAAGTCTCCCCACAATACGGCAATGAGAGGGCTTGGATTCGGTTTGCCTGATTGGTAGGACTTGTAAGCACCTGCAGGCAGTTCTAGCAGAGTAGAGCATGCGCTGCAGGGCACCGAACACAGGCACGCATCAGCGCCTAAAAACCTCCTCACAACATGGCGAAGAGAGGACCCGGATTTGGTTTGCCTGATTGATAGGACTTGTAAGCACCTGTGGGCAACTCTAGCAAGCAGAGCAGAGTGTGTGCCGCGGGGCACCGAAGACAGGCGCGTATCAACGCCAAAAATAAAAAGAAAGGGGGATCTGTGGGGAGCAACTCGGACTGGACTGAGTTACTGGAATTAAGACTTATTCTATGCATCTGCTCTCCCACAATATGGCGCTGGGAGAGGAGAAAACAGCTTCTACGCAGCTGCCTCTTGCCAACTTGAGTGATGACCTCCAGGAGCTGATTCTGCTCCTGATTGGAGGAGAGCAGCGTACTCGGCATGTGGGCAGCCGAGTTGGGATTGGCGGAGGAGGACTATAAAGGAGGAGAGAGACGGCATGCACCAGGAACATCTGAGGGAACACCTGTGCAGCCCCCGAGAGAGCCGGCTGGCGGTGTGCCGCTCCCCCGCGGAAGTGGGGAATGTGGCAGGGGGAACCGCCCTTCCACGGAGGTGGAAGGGTCGGTAGCCAACCCGGGAAGAACCAGCAGCAAACCTGGGGAGGGCCGAGCAGACAAAAGAACAGCGCAGGGTCCTGTGTCGTTCCTCCACGAAGAGGGGGAGTGACATCATGTGGGAGAAAGAGATACTAGTCCTCTCGGCTGTGCCAGCCAGGAACAGATCTTCAGGATACACAGGGCTTCACGATGAAAAGGAAGGCAGAGCTCGCTGCTCTTGGATGCTCTGCAGAGAGTAGAACTGCCAGAAGACAGATGTGAGGAATGAGAGAGGAGAGGAGATAGGGTTCAATACGCAATCTTTCAGTTCTTACCAACAGGTATTAGATTTTATGGAATGATATTTACCATGTGCTGTATACTCTCAGGACAAATTCCAGAAATTTTAAATGACTGCTTTAAAAATAATTTTAATTTGAGGATTACTTGGGAGAGATGGTTAAGATATTTACCATGTTGCCCATTTCACCATTTCTAAAGTCTCAATTGAAGCCTTCTCCTTGACTTTTAAAATCTGACAACATTCCAATCTTGTCTCTGTGTGCTATAATTAAGTATTTTATTCAGATTTATATTCCCTTTCACTGTATTCTCTTGAACTGGGCTTATTGTGTCTAAACAGTCATAAAGTGTAAAATTTTTTACTTGTAATTTAAGTTGTATTATAAATATTTTAAATACACCTATCATGTTTAATAGTTTCTGGAAAATTTTAAGTGATTTTAAATGCATTTGTTTGATCTGTATTTCTAAATGCTCCATGTTTTTAGTTTTTATTCTATCTTATTCTTGAGGACAGTATCTCATTTCATCATGTTTTTTTTTAATTGTATTGCATCAGAATCCTAATGGACCTAATATTAGATGCTTTTATAGGCATACTTAATTATATTATTGGCCAAGCAATAGTTGATGTTAATTCAAGGTAATGTTTATTTAATTTTCTGAGTTTTTTCCAAAAATATGAAGATACAAATTATGCATGATAGAAGGAAGTGAGAAGAAAGGGAGAATAGAAACCAGTCTTGTCACTGCTTTTCCTGGTACATAAGCAGGTATCTGGATCAGAAGTAGAGAAAAATGGGCTTGCACAGCTATGCCTATAGGACGCCAGTGTCGCACATGGCAGCTTTACCTGCAATGCCACAGTGCTGGCCCTGTTCATTTTCATATGACAACCTTCTTTACACTGTTCCCCCCTTACTCCCTAGTCATAAATAACCCTCTGACTAATTTATTAATGGTCCTCTGAACATGCCCTGTGCTTGCTTGCTTCTCATTTCTGTACTTAAGCCATTTGTTCTTCAGGGAGACCCCTTGATAATGATCTTTCAGATTCTAAGGAATTTAAAATAGATTACTTGATTATCTAAATGTGCGTGTGTGTGTATTAAGTTCTGCAGTAGCCTGTCATCCAATGCCATGTACTTACTATTCAGAGCCTTTCTACTATTTGTAGAATCAACAAAGTCCTTCCCACACTGCTTGTGTTCTACCAGAGAAATTCACTGACAATCTGTGGCATCCCAGTGAATAGCAACCTCTGTTATAAAACTCAGTTATAAAAACTGTGACACCATGTTGAGCACGTAAAATGTCATACTTACTATTGAAGTGAGATACACAACAGACCCATAGAATGACGGATGTCCTAAACTGCACTCTGGCCTCAGAATCAGCCCTTAAGGCATGCGGATCTGGCTGAAAAGCCCATGAGAGTATTTCAGGCATGGAAAGCCAAGACACTCTGGGGAAAAAAAAAAAAAAAAACCTTAATGAAAGATCTCCACGAGTGAGATCCCAGTGGAAAGAACAGGTCATCAGAGAAGGAGGTACCTTTCTCTGAAGGGAGGAGAGAACTTCCACTTTGACCATGGCCTTGTCTAAATATGATCAGAGTCAGTGAACTCAGGGGGCTTCCATAGCCTTGGCAGCTCATGACAAGAGCCTAGGGTGATTACTGATGCCATAAACAAGAGTGTCAATTTGTTAAGTCAACAACAGGAGTCACTGTGCACTTACTCCTCATGTAGGATCTTTGTCCTTAGTGTGCTGTACATTGAGATTTAATGCTATAACTAGTACTCAAACAGTATTTTTCACTTTATGTTTCTGTGTGGGAGCAAACTGTTGAAATCTTTACTTAATGTATGCTAAACTGATCTTCTGTATATAAAGAGAATCGAAAATGAATCTTGATGTGAATGGAAGGGGAGAGGGAGTGGGAAAGGGGAGGGTTGCGGGTGGGAGGGACGTTATGGGGGGGAAGCCATTGTAATCCATAAGCTGTACTTTGGAAATTTATATTCATTAAATAAAAGCTTTAAAAAAATAAATATGTAGTTATCTTTCTGAGTTGAGAAGTACTTCCTAAATCTCATTCTTTTCTTTGAGAAGGACTCATACAGTGGTAATTAGATGGACTTTTTAGCTCAGTTAATTTGATTGTAA